ACATTAGAAAAGTATTAGATATTCTAAAGGTTGGCCTGTCAATAAAACTGCAAAGTAGTAAAAGTTATTGAGCGATGCCAAAGTGTCCAACTGGGATCTCGGCTGTCACGTTGAGGGTGTGGATGACGGCGGAACATGTGTGGTGGAGCAGATCAGGAGGCAGGAATACAGGCACGGATGAAATAAAAGTAGTTTTAATGGCAGAGCAGAAACGACAGAACAAAAACAACGCTGACAACAAACAATGATCCGACAAAGACTGATGCAAGAAGGGAGGTATAAATACACAGAGAAAATCAGGAACACATGCGGATTAACACGGGGCTGGTGAGAACAATAAAGACTAATCAGGCAGGGGAGAGACACAGTCAGGGAGGCAGGGGCAGATTGTGACATCGGCGAGCGTTCCCACTGAACCTTTCAACAGCAGGGTTTGTGCTCCAATTAGACGAAAAGATTCCAATTTATTTTTGTACCATTTTTATTATTGCCAACTTCTTGTCTTACTCTGTTCCTAACAAGAGTGAGTGTAGATACCAGATAAGAAGAAACATGGCTCAGGTTTTTTCCTTTACAGCTTCCAGGGTTAAAAACCAAAACGGCAAGCTTTTCAGAACTGCACAGGTGAAACCTCAGTAGCTACTTTTGCTAAACCAAACTTAAAAGTAAAAACATTTGATTTATCCCAAAGCTAAACTTCTTTTGACAGACTGATGAACTAATGGCTAATATGAATGTGTCCAAGGCCAAAGTAGAGTCCTTACATAACATTCATGCAAATTTTGCGTTATTTTTTCTGGAGAAAACAAATATAACATAAATAGAAATATGCTGAGGATGGAAGCGCCAGGCTGGAGCCTGAGACGAGGCCCAAAAAGAAGATATATGGATGTGGTGAAATAAGACATGAAGTAAGTTAATGCCAGTGTAGAGGATGCAGAAGATGGGACTATCTGGAGATGGATGATTCGCTGTGGTGACCCCTGAAGCAAAACATCGAGAGAAAAAATAATTTGACTGTTTGATAAATAACTGCTTTCATGTGTTTTGATCCGTTGATGATGAGATAACGGTGTGTCTTCATGAGTCAGTAGCCCTTAAATATGTAATTAGGAGTGACCAAAAAAGAGTTATTTCTTAATGCACATTTATATGGCGAAGCTGTTTGTTTAATGTAAATACTTGCTGTTTCGTGAAGGGAAAACAATATTGAGATTGAATTTCTGTTTTCCTGACAGAGTGTGGGTGTCAGCTTGGTTACCCCTATAAAAACCTTTTGTCTCTGCCTTCATGCAGTCTGCATGCCAACACAACCCTAACCCCGGCTTTCCACAGGAGCCGTCAGCAGCACGTCATAGCTGCTGATAGGAACCGCTGTGGTCAACAGAACCTTTTCCACTGGAGCCGTCAGCAGAGCGAGTCGGCCGCGTCTCAGGAGCAGCATGTCGCGGCCTTTACGCGCCGGTTCTATTTTCTACGCGCGACGCCTCTGAAACGGGTCAAGTTCGACATTTTTGGGGAAGGAAAGACAGGAAATCGGACGCGGAAATGGCGAGAAGCTCCCGAGATTTTCAGAATAAAGAAACGTACTGCCTTCCGGTTGCTTTACTTTTAAAAATCAGTTACTAACTGTGCGTCCCCGTGAGAAGTTATCACCTAGCTAGCGGTCTCCTTTGTTTTTCAGGTCCGTATTGGCGATTATAAAATGGACAGAACATAAAACACAAACCATGTTGTAGTTTTCTCCTGCTTGTTGTTGTGTTTACTGACGAAGTCACTCGTGTGACTTCGTGCTCGGTCGGTGACAGCTGCTCCCCTGCTGCTTCGCGTCTCGTGGGAAGGGCCAAGCAGCAGCTTATGCGAGCAAGACGTGCTGCTGCAGAAACGTGCTGCTGACGGCTCCCGTGGAAACCCGGGGTCAGGCTGGGAGCACTGGCCAAGACAAAACCTGAAATATCAATATAAAAAAAAAATCTGCTATTGTGCAGCATCCACTTTAAAATACCCAGGCTGTACCCGCATACTGATAAATGATCCATGGTAAAAGGGATCAACTCTCACTATCAAAGGGACTCTGAGATGTTACATGGGGTTTCTCATCCTGCGATTTCTAGGTAGTCTACTTCCATTTGACTGCAGTCTGAATCTGAATGTTAGTTCAATATTTAAAGTGGCAGCATGTCGTTTCTTGACGCTAGGGGACAGTGCATACATAAACTTCAGGGTAGTTTTACATCAAATCGTCCTGACTGTTGCTATTTTCAAAAAAAAAAAAAAAAAACATCACGGTAAATTTTGCCTGTGGAGCGGACACGTGACCTTTATGTGACTCCTCAGACTTTGACGATCCTTCAGTTAAATCCATCGAGAGAATGCAATGCCGATTGCAGTTTTCTGGTCGGGATCCTGCTCAGGGATCCGGTTCCTGCCGATGACCTCATCATACTGTGGCAATACCACTCGGCCATAATATAGTGAATCTCTTTTCTTGATTCTGTTCTTTCACATATGTTTTGGAAAATGTAGCAGTTTTGTTATTCAATTCTTGTTTCTTACTGCCTAAATGTTTTTGAATGTTGTAACGCAAGTCATACGTCAAGCCAATCATCTAGTTTGACCTCACTGATAGGCGCATGACCCCAAGCCGGCCAGAAGAAAAAATGGCATCCGCCAAAGACGCTAGACCTGTGCACCATGTACTTTAGACCCGATTTTTATGGTCCAAAGCCGCCAATGTTTTTCAACAACTGCACGCCATTTAATTCATTTGCAACAACATTTCAATGGATAATTCCAGTGATAAATAGTGAAAAACTATATATTGTCTCTAAGTTAAAACTGCCAATATTGACATTTAATGTCTGTCATGCTATATGTAGCAGCAGCAGCAGCAGCAGCAGTAGTAGTAGTAGTAGTAGTAGTAGTAGTAGTAGTAGTATGATTTCAAAGGTTTTATCAACATTATTTGGAGCTAAACATGGTAAATGTTACCTTTTTAGTTTATGACTTTACAATTTGTACCATTCATGTATTTTTGCAATAAAGAGAAAATAAACTTCTGAACACTTCCCAAAGGTCCTCATTTCAGCTCGCTTGGATTTCAGTGGTTTGGGCTTCATGTGAGTACTAACCTTTGAGGAGTTTTGTAACAGAAGCCTGGACGTACTGGAGGTGACTTGTTGCCATATATGGCCAGCATTTATTGTGGTTTAAGGATCAATTCAGCAACAATAGAAAATAAACAGTTTGTTTGGGGTCTGTTTATTATTTACAACAGAAGGGATGTTTCTGAAGGACAGTAAACTGTAAATCTGTGGAGACATGTGTCATTCTTGTGGGGGTCTCTGATCAAATTTAAATGTAGCTGCTTGTTAATGCCACACCATTAAAACACATTCATATGTAGAGACTGAAGTTGTGAGATCAAGGACAGAAATGGGTTTCTCTCTGCTACCCTTAAGGGAAACAGTTAAGAGGTCAGATATGTGCTCACCGAGCACTTCATCAGATACGTCTAACTATTACAGGCTGGGGTCTCCCTTGGCTCTGAAAACAAGACCTTATTCTTAACATTTACAAAATTGCATCACTTCAATTTTGCAGATCATTTCAACTGCAAAGTCATGCCACAGAGCTCCCTACATGGTCTTGTACTGAGGGTAGAGTATCTGCATCAAGGTCAGCTGTTGAATGTGGTGAGCTGCTGCAGCACAGATGTAAACAGTAGGTATCTGAGTTATTGTAGACTGGCTGTCGGCTCAAAGCAGTCTGGAAATTCTCCTCAACTTCTCTCATCAACAACATGATTCCAGAATATTGATTCAGTTCAGTGGAGCCAGTAAACGGCCAGTTTACCATTAAAATAATCTAAGCTTTTGTACCTTCTGTTCTGATTTGGTTTGATGAGCTGAACCTCAAGCTGAAACGTTTTATGTATTTTGCTGATTGGATGGTTTTATGCATCAGCAGGTGTACAGGTGCTCCTATTTTGAGCGTGCCTTTCTGGAGGCACTGAGAGGAAACGGTAAAGAGAGCAAGTAGAGAATACGTGGTTCTACCAGCTCTTTAAGCTCTGAGTGCAGCTGCAGACATGTTGCTGCTGTGCGTTCCTTAGACATCACATGAAAGATGCTGTCACTATATTGTACCAGATGAAAAAGGGAGGGGTAAAGTAGGAAAAAAAACATACACTTTTCATTTTAAACTCAAAGCAGATTAGTTTAATTGCTTCTTTAGGAAGAGCAGTGGCTGCTTTGTGTGTTTCTTCAAAGCCTTTTCCGCAACCAGAATAAAATCAACAGTTTAAAAAAAACATTCTCAATAGCACCCCGGACTTTATAATTAGGAAACACCGACCCCTTGTGGAGTATTATATTATTGCACTACTTTTCTCCTTTTTGACATGATAGAAATTTCAGCACACTAATGTCTAATAATGGCATGTCTAAAACTTCTGTTATTGTCCTTGAATGAATAGCTGATACATGAGAAATAGTCTGCATTTGATATGGCATCTTATAGGGTTTTACAACCCCCCAAAGCTCTTTACAACACAGCCAATCCTTCACCCATGCACACACACATTCCCACTCTAGTGGCGATGAGCTGCGATGTAGCCACAGCTGCCCTGGGGCACACTGGCTGCTCTAAACAGGCACCACCAGTCCCAACCATCACCAGCAGGTGAGGAAGGCAACGTTTTTTGTCCAAGGACACAACAGCTGGGACAGACTGAATGGGTCTCAGACTTGCAACCATTCATGGGGCACGCACTTAACCCCTAACCTTAACCCCACTGTCAGATGTGTTACATTGTGGGGCAATAACAGGAGTTTAAAAATAAGCAGGAAATTGTCCTGAATTGGAGGTCATTTCGGGATGAGCTACGATGTTGCCACAGCTGCTCTTCGGTGCACTGACAGAGGCAAGACCTGCCAAACACTGGCGCCACCAGTCTCTCCGACGACCACCAGGTGGGTTAAGCGTCTTGCTCGAGGACACAACAGCAGCATTCTCTGGTCAGAGCCGGGATCAAATCTACAACCTTCTGATTACTGGACAACCCATTCTACCTCCTGAGCTACTGGTGTCCCTGACAGGTAATCTGAAGCTTTCATGGAGATGGCTATGCACTCAATGTGCACTTGATCCATGTGTGAACTTTAGATCAAATTAAGTCTAAGAACCTACTACATAGATTAGAATAGGATAGACTTTATTAATCCCACAGTGGGGAAATCCAGTCATGGCAGCAGCACATATAGAGAAACGAAATAAGAATAATAACACCAATAACATGCAAAAAGGGGGTTCACTAAATGCATGATAATTCTGATAGCTAATGTAACACACTTCAAGATCTAAGATAATGATGTGTACAATAGTAAAAATACTCTAAACACACAATGTCTAAGGAGTCACACCCATTAGCATTTATTTCTACACAGTCCGATTCTTTGACTTTTTCATTTACCGTGTAACTTGTCAGCTTAATGGTTTTCAGCTCTAGTGACCCACATGATTATTTTTGTAAAGTTGGATGGCACAAGCAAAAGTACTCTCAACCATATCTGAGAAAAAGTGCATCTTGTTATGATTGCACATCCTTTGATACACTTTAAAACGTTTCCAAGTTGTTGTTTTTCAGTGAATCACAAGAGTCTGACCAGTGAGGTCACCCAGCAGAGTTTAATTTGGGACTCTGATTCTTCTGCAGCTGTCGTGTCCCCGTGAGCACATGAGGCACAACTGCATGTGTGTCGGGACTCTCCAACACTTTCCAACACACAAGTTTAGCCGGTAAGTTCACAGCTCTGTTTATTGATTTGTAGAAAAGTTAAAAGTCAAGATTAACATAAATGGATTTCTTGTTCCAGGAAGCACACATATGTCAGCAAAGCTTGTGGGAACTAAGGGAACATCCGAGACACTGGGATGAACTTCCCCATTGCCGTTAGATCTCTCGAAAGACATTTTAAAGGAAGCCACTGCCCAACTGTCCCAAATCAATTTTGATGATCTAAACTGAGACAAAAAGTTTGTTTTGGTGCATTAACTGTATAAGAATTGTAATGAAAAGGCAACACAATGTTTAAGCTGCTGTTAATGGTTCATTAAGGTTTCCATAGTAACCACATTCAAAAGCGTTATTCGTGTAGATGATATGGTGCTGTCTGTTGAACACTGCATGAATGTTTGAGAATTAACTTTAATTCTCTAACTGGGAAAGGACTGGAGAGCGCGAAAGGAGGGCTTTGAAAAGCATCAAAGGTTTAAAACGACAAAAGTGTTGCTTCCATGGTTGCCTAAATATTTGTTGTTCTGCGTTCCTGCACCAGTGGAAGACAGAAAACTCTTCATTGGAATGGTTTAAAAAAATGCGGCGAGAACGAGGTCAGAATGATGTTCTTGTCTTTTGGACAGATTAGGGCTGGGCGATAAAACAAAACTTATATCTCGATATTTTGTAGCTGAATTCCAATATACGATATATATCTCAATATTTTTCCTCCTGTAAAATATTTACAAGTTAACTCACTTCAAGCTGTCTTGAGAAATTATATACATAAATTAGTAGATTAAATGCATGAACATGTATTGATTCTTGTCAAACTTTACCCTTAGTGCCTATTCTCTAACAGTCTGAGCTTTAGAGACACTGGTACAGCTGTCTGCCAACACACACACACACACACACACACACACACACACACACACACACACACACACACACACACACACACACACACACACACACACACACACACACACACACACACACACACACACACACACACACACACACACACACACACACAGTTCGGAGCTAGAGGTGTATCAAATGTCCCACAGACACTTTTTAATTATATATTTATTGTTAATGTAAAATTATTTAAATTTCATCTAGAGGTGGCCCATATTGTATATTTCTTGTCCAGGGGAAAAAAAATCATCTTAAAGTAAATTTGTGATGACGTAATTGCATCTACTGAAGATCACATGGGTCATGCACCGTGGAGTTATTAGTTATCAGGGCAAACATGGCTGGAATCTAACAGAGTTGGCTCATATCAGCGATTATACCGTAATGACTCAGAGTCTCTGGTTGCTCTTTTATGAGTATTACCTCTCCTTACAAACTCTTAACTTTTCAACAGAATCAGTTGTAACGGAGTATTTACTAGCATAGCAAACCAGAGCGGAAAAAAAGAAAACAGAACCGGAACGACATTTCTGACCCGTTGAGCTCACCTTCAAAATAAAACTTTAACCCTATGCAGTAGTTAACCCATTCCGCCATAGATTTGGGGGGGAAGTCTCATGCAGAACCGTCATGGCTTGCTTCTGCAAACTGAGTAAGATCTATTGTAATTAGTGAAACACTCCACCACTGTGTGTCAGGCCCATGGAACGTCTAAACTTCTCCTGCACAAATATAACGATCGCCTTTTTTTTTTTTTTTTTTTTTTTTTTTACTATTGAACATCGCTTGGACAAATATTACACCTCTCGACTTTACTGGACAATTTCATTAGTCCAGATAATTTGAATAGGGTAATTTCTTTACTTGCTCATGTTATGTTGCAATTTATTGAATCCCATTGGATTGTGGGCTGAGCAGTGAATCGGGTCCTGTCATGTTGAATTTTTTTAAGTATTTCAATATACCAGAGTATTGGCAGTGTCTATTCATGTTTTTTCACATGCAGAACTCTCATGCACAAGTGCAGTTTTCATTCTGAAAGGAAGAGGATGACTGTGTTCAGTCTGAGTGTGGTCTCATCACTCATTACCTGATTCTTGTGAGATTGAAGTATGCTCAGCTGGAATAAGTGCACTGGCTTGTTAAAGCTCTATAAATCTGTCATGCCTGTGAATTGTCCTAAATTGCTCTTTCCGGTCCATTAAATCCATACCAAACAACTTCAGCTGTACAGTATCCAGTCTGTTGTAACTGGAGCCATTGTCAAAGAGGTTATAGGTACATATTGAACCATCTTGAAGGATGAGTTTAGCTGGCTGAGTATACAGTACTAGCTCTCTTCTACAGTTCAAATAAGAAGCAGCTCAGCTCTGAAATCCCAATCCTGGATCCTGCTGTTCCTGGCATTTGTGCAGGTAATTGTGTGGTTTGTGTGGTAGTGGTGTAGAGGCTTGTTTCACTTTTTCTATCTCTCTTCTTGTGTCTCTCACTTGGTCATTGATGCTAGCTCGTCCCCATACCGAGCCGGCCATCTGTTCACTTCCCTCTAAAGCTCATCGAAACAAAACCACCTCTGAAGAACAGCGTGTATCTTGTGACTAGATTTAAATTGTTCCTGTTGCGTTGTAGATGGTCTGTTGCTGCATATGTTTAAACTCCTCTGAGTTGTCTTTGACAAACATGGTTAAACTGTGGGAAATGTCCTGTTTCTATTTTTTTATGCACTGATTATGTAGCAAGTTCACAAGTTATTCAAAATGTTCACAGCTGACATGCTATACTTAGTGAGTGGTGGACTGGCTGTAAAAATGTGGTGTCTTACACAAAAAAATATGTACATTTTAAATTGATATTGTACTAGTTTGCTTGTCAACAATCTCCAAAATGCTCAGAAGAAACTGAAGGATGATGACAAGAAAAATCAATAAGTTCAAGTCTACACTACAGCTGGAAATTGGATAGTGGAGAATTTGAAACCCACTAGCAGCTCATAGACAATTCCCCCTGAATCTGGTTCTAGTGAGAGAGTATGGCCTTACAGTGACTGAACAAGACACTGACTTAACAATGTGTAAGTAAGTAAATTTTATTTATATATCACTTATCACAGGCATAGAATCACAAAATCCTTCACATATCAAAACAAAATAAAACAAAGTCATAAAACTACAATGATCTCAATACAGACATAGATCATCAGAGAAAAAACTTCCAGAAGGTTCTGATGTGTGAACCTGAGGGCTCGTGTTGGAGCATAAGGCTTTAACAGTTCAGTAATATAGGGAGGAACTTGACCAAGTAGACCATTGAAAGTTATTGTCAGGATTCTAAAATGAACTCTAAAGTTAACGGGTAACCAGTGCAGATACATTAGAATAGGAGTGACGTGAGCTCTTCTGTTTGCTCCAGTTAGTAGCCTCGCTGCAGAGTTCTGGACCATCTGAAGGCGGTCAAGTCCTTTTTTGTTAAAACATGTGAAAAGTGTGTTACAGTAATCTAGACGGGAGGGCATAAAGGCATGGATAACCATTTCAAGTTCATGTTTTGACACCATCCTTCACAGTTTG